GGAGGCGGCGGCGGCGGCGGTGGCGGTGGAAGTTGCAGTGGTACGTACAGAAAGTAACTGTTATCGGTATCTTAACCGACTGTTCGCAGTCTAATACAACCTCTACTCCACAATTCTAGCAGTTTTAAATTACGGATAGTTCGCTTGGTCTCAGAGAAAAAAAAACAATAGAAATCCAGCAACCTCCACCTGTATGATACGGAAACCTGTGTGATACAGACGCTCAGTTCTGCTCGTTCTGTGTCCGCGTTAAACACGTTCTAGTGTACTATGGATTTGAGGTGTTCAACTGACGATGAATTCTTCATTGTTCTCATCTGCTTGTCTGCATGTAGATAACATTTGCGAATTTTCAAAAGAATTTGTAATTAGCTTTAGGATCCCTTTAGAACGTAAAAATCGTCAGGAAAGTTTGAAAGCGTTTCCTTTTAAAAGGGTTTAGTAAGGGATGGTGTAGAAGTGCGATTCATCATCATGGTTGGTAAATCATCGTAATACGATGGTTGGCATCTTCGTTTCTCGGCATTTTATTCATTTTTTGTCTGCCGTTATTATAAAAGTCTTCCCTTCTCAGCATTTATTAGCATATCGAAGCATAAAGTCCTAATGACTTACAAATCTTAACAATGAAAAGCAACAAGGACACATGAAGGAATTTCAACAGCAGGCTTCAGATTAACATCTGCGCACGGTAATGCAGTCAGTGTTACACGCTAAAATTACTGTGGGTAATTCTGCAGACAGCTGAAGCGTTTCTAATTCCGCAATACACCCTTTTTGATAAGAAAGTCCTGTTTTCAAGAAGAGGCTGACACAACACTGACTTTCTTATTTTGGCATAAATTGAGCCTAACGCGGTCTTACATAATAGGACATTTACCAGTTGCCTTTTGCCTCTGTTTCAAAACGAGTCTTCGTGCGAAACCATTCATGAGTTCCCCCTACAGGTTCATTTTCATGCAAATCAAAGTTATTTTCACAAGAAAGGTTTTGCACGGAGACTCGTTTTGAAACAGAGGCACAAGCAAACTTGGAAATGGCCTATTGCATCTTAAAAAAGTGTATTGGGTATTTTTGTTTTGTTTTGCGGTGGGGGTGCCGGTGGGGGTTGAAAGCATTGTGCAATTTAGTTACTGCGTGAAATATTGCACGGTGTATTCAGACCTTAAAGCTCTATCTGCTAGTTAGTTTAAAGTGCCGATATTCCACTAGTAAACAACAATTCTTAGAACTTTAGGTTAAAAAACACTTGTAATTACTTTAGGCCAGATACATGTATTGTTAGGGTATATTATTCACAATTAACAGCTTCGAATTGCCGACTAAAGGCTCTATCGAAACCTTATTTTTATGATTTGATGATTTTTTATCGGTAGTTAGTGGGGCAAGTAACAAGGTGAAAAGCTGTACATTTGACAAAGACATGTGTGACTGGCATAACGTGCCATTTGATGATAACATGGACTTTGCCATCCGCAGTAGCAGCAGCGGCGGACCAAGCAGTGGAGCAGGGGGGAGTGGTGAGTAGATTCCATTTCTTACGAATACATTGTAGGTGACGTTATAAGAAGCAATTTGTCGCAAATTTTTAAAGTGATCACTCTACGTGAAAACATTTTCTTTTCCGATAACGGGGAAGATAAGGAAAATCCCAGTTACAGATTAAAGATATGATGTCAAAATATTTTTTTACCATCAGGAAAATTCCTTGTGACAGAGAATAGTAGCGGTAAGGCGCAGCTTTTGATCCCATTTGAGTTGGTCCTAGCCAACCACGACAGCAATCATGGCAGTATGTGTATTAGGTTCAACTACTACATGAAAGGGTAAGTCATGAAATTACTTTTTAGCGCCAAGCTTAAGTTAGCCAATCAATCAATTAATCAATCTAACAATCAATCAGCCAATCCATCTATCCATCCATCAATCAATCAATCAATCAATCAATGAAGCAAGGAAGCAGTCAATCAATCAATCAATCAAACAGTCAAGCAAGGAGTTAATCTTTCAATCAGTGAATCTGTCAGTCAGTCACATTGTCAGACGGTCAGACGGTCAATCAGTCAGACAGTCAGATAGTCAGACAGGTCAGACAGTCAGACAGTTAGACGGTCAGGCGGTCAGACAATCAGACAGTTGGTCAGTCGGTTAGTCAGTGAGTCGGTGAGTCGATAGGTCAGTCAGTCAGTCAGTCAGCCAATCAGCCAGCCAGACAGTCCGCCAGTCAGTCAGTCAGTCAGTCAGTCACAGTCAGTCAGTCACAGTCAGTCAGTCACAGTCAGTCAGTCAGTCAGTCAGTCATTTAGTCAATTGATTGGTGCGTCGGTCGGTCGCTTAATCGAATCGAGTGACTGATCGATCAATTAATCAATGAATCAATTTAACGTATCAACTTGATTTTCCTATTGAATTAATTAGTGACACCTGTACAAAGTGAGTAGAGCCTAAATTACTGAAAATATTTGTAGGTTAACACCAGCGCAAAAATTCATTAATAAAATTAGTTCAAGTTCTAAACCCGTTACTCAAGGCATTCTATAGAGGCTCTTCTCATTCACTTACATTTTACAGAGGTAATGAGGAACGATGAAATTGCAGTCTTGTAGGAAGACAGTCATCTGCAATTCTGTAAATACACTAACACGAAAATGATAATCATTAGCTTGTTCGATTTTCAGCTCTTTAGAGATGCTTTTTTTTTGTTTTTTTTTTCTTCTACAGTGGTTCACTGTCATTATATAAGATCGAGAATAAGAAGGGTTCACCAAAAACCAAGTTAACCAGTGTGAGTGGTGGACAAAGCTCTTGGATGTGTAAAAAAGTAACTGTACAGGTCAGCGTACATTGGCAGGTGCGTTAAGTGCAGTTTTATCTTAATCCTGTAATGGATCAAATTTATTTACCTACCCACTCACTTGCCTATTTCGTTAACGGTCTTCCCTCCTCCTTCGGCCTATCAGCCTATTGACCCTACAGTACTTACCCGCCTCTTTACATACGCCTGTTACTTTCAGTCTTTCCTTCCTTCCTTCCTTCCTTCCTTCCTTCCTTCTTTCTTCCTTCCATCCTTCCCTCCTACCTTACCTACCCACCCACCCACCTACTCACCCATCAACCCACCCATCCAGCCGCTAACCGGCCTGCCTACCTACCAACCAGCTACTAACCTACGCAGCCACCTCAACCCTTTCCCACTCAGTACCCTTTCTTCATTAGCTGGAGGAGTGAAGAAGGAAACAACAATTTATGTATTTTACTTTACGCTCACCGGTGCTTGGAAGACAATAGCAAACTCTTTTACCCCGCACACTTTATGTTTAGCTGATGTTGGAGGCAAGTGCCAGTGGAAGTCCTATCGCTCTCGATGACATCAGTTTTACCGATGGCGCCTGCAGCTAAGTAACGGTTTGTGCTGAATTTGTTAATCAATTACCTAGACTGTCAGTTTATAAGTCTCTTTTAAAGTGCCACTATGATCAAATTCTCGATACCCATTTTTTTACATTTTCGTACACAATAGGTTTTTCCTAGATATCTTGCCAAATTTCAAGCTATTATGAACATTAGAACTCATGTGTTTTGGACCTTTATCTCCTAGAATTTACGGCCGCCATTAATTTTCCTTGTTCCAAGTCTTGGTTGAGAATTTGAGATAATGACGTCATTTTCTCAAAAATACCACACGGGTTGAAATTATGTTAACAACTAGTACGGCAATTCGCATAAAGAATAACAAACACTTTGGCTCATATATTCGTGCAATTTTCTACATTAATTGTTGTTCTAATTTCAACCCGTGCGGTATTTTGGATAAAGGTCATTACCACACCCACGTTCGCAATTAGCCAATCAGGAGCCATAGTCACTGTCCTGATATCCTGTGATATCAAGTCACCAACCTGATATGGTTACGATATCATGGTCACTTGGCCGAGTTTGGGTACGGTAAATACCTAATCGTACCTTTTTGGTACGCTTCGGTGGTATATCAGGCTCGGTTGATCTCGTCATGGGCATATTGCCTTGATATGCTACCGAAGCGTACTTAAAAGGTACCATTAGGTATAATAAAGATGCTGTCTATTTTTGCTTCTAATTAAGCTGGTTAAGAGAATAGTCTACATTAGGATTACATATGGAATAGTCCTTTTATTTTATTTCAATCGACACTTTTCTTATTCTTCTTCACAGAATGCAGTACGGGGAATCTACAGCATAGAATGCATACTTTAGATGAGTGAATAAAAAGCAAATGCTTCAACCATGTGTGTGTTTCTTAATAATGGGTCGGCCAAAGCTTGTTGCTTAAGTACTCAAAGCGAAAGCGCTGCCCTAAACTAACGCTAGCAATTAAAAAGAGGGCAGCCAGTACATCTTCCCTGCTCTTATCACTTCCTCGCGTACTTTATAACAGAACAAAACACCGTCAAGGTTTCTTTATGTGCTAACTAGTAATAAGCCGAAAAAAGCAACTCGTTTAAATCGAGAATCAAGACTCTTCCGTTGGTTAAAGAGCGTACCTCCTTCGAGTTAAAAGTTCTTTAAGAGCCGCCTGTTATTTCTTTTATGTCTTGACTGCCAAGACGTGACTTTAATTGCCATCATCATACGCTGAGATCCATTCCCCTTAACGTTTGAATTAAATTTACAAAAGCCTCTTTCTTGCACAGAAAGTGAATGTGCATGGCAAGGTAAGATAACTCTTATGGCCTGGCCTTAAAAAAAATTACAATTCGTATGAATTTTGCCAGTCAAAGAGCGTCCATAACTAATAATTGAAAAGCATTTCTTTTAGAAAATGTAATTGATCACATCTCGAGTGGGCTTTTGTCTTAAACTGAAGAGTTTCGAGTCAACGATTTACCTTTGATCGATTTTGTTTGCCTAGCATACACTTTAAAGGAATCCTAAAACAGAAAAAAAAAAAAATGCCTTATGGTAACTCCCATCAGCCCACCCTCCTCCCTGCTCGTCCAAATGAAAACTACTCCAAAGGCCTCCGGAAAAAGTATTCTTGGCATAAAGTCCCTATGGCCATATGGCGAGATCGTACTTATCGTCATAGACTAGGTTTTAACCTGACACACTAAAACCTGTTGACAGATCTACTGAAAGATGACAACGTCACTCTTAAAAGACATGTGCATATGCTTTGGATGGGTTCGTTTTCGTCTTGGCCGAGGTTTAAATCCAGTGATGGAATCGTATGTGGCCTCGTCTAGGAATAAGTTATAGTCCCTAACGGTGCGAGTAAAATTCTGAACCCAAGTTGGTTTAACCATAGTCCATGGTTAGTTGGTGAAAGGAAGATTTTCTAGTGGAAAGATTCACATTTAACAACAACAACCATTTTATTTTGCTTAATACATAGAATATCATATGGCAAAAAAAGTTAATTAAACTTAAATAAGCAAAAAAAAAAAACCCAAAATAGTAAGAACTAAACGAGCTGAGTAGTTACAAGGATTATTAGGCTTTAAATCGGTTGTAGGAAACATTTGCGGAGAGGGGGGGAAGTAGAGCGTATTTGGTGAGTATGGAGCGGCGACAAGCTGGGATAACTTTAACACGCACTTTGCAATGATTTCTCATAATAGGTGTGGCTGGTATCGTTCGTTAAGAAAGGTGAAAATAATTTTGGGGGAAAATTTTTTTGTGTCGAAAGTGACGACGCCTAACTTTGCGTGAAAATTGAGCGTAAGCATGAGGAAGGAGCGACAACAAGAAACTTATAAATTGTTAAATTTTTGTGATCACTTTATTACTTCGACCGTTACAAGCTGCGTGAAGCTTCTTAGCCCGAGGGACGAAAACCGCCCCAATTTATACAAGCCGACGTGCCATACATCTCACAAAACGGGCGCGCATGTAGACGTCCCATGAGACTTTTTTTAATTACATGCGAATGGAGTTGTGAATTTGTAGTGGAGCTCTGAAAGTCGGTCGAAGTGGAGCTTTGAAGTCGAAGGAGAATTTTGCTGAATGTAAAACTAGCAAAAGTAAAAATGTTCAGCGTGAAATGGAGCGGTATTACCTTCGTCGTGTTAGGACTGTCCCGTACATGAAAAACAACAATTGTCCGTAGTATGGTTCCTGCGCCAGTTTTGGATAGAGATAAACCAATTTTCAAAAGGCAGCTAAGAGGTATGCGCATTGTACATCGCTTGACAAATTACTGGTTCATGTTGGCCTAAAAGGGTAAATATTTGTTCCTCCAGCTGTGTTTTAAGAACGTTTTTAGACTTTATTTAATACATTTGGATTAACCGCAGTGACATAATTTTCCTGTGTCGTAAGGCTTTGGTTTAGAAATTCTGTTGTTACCTGTAAGAATCGCTTGAACTAAGAATTTGTTCTACTGAATTTGTAGTTTCCGCAATTGCGCCAGGATTACTTTGACAGAAAATTGATGTATCATTTCTACAGCAACTGGATATGCCGTATGGTAAAATTTCAATTTCAAAGCAACGCCTCACATGTTATCATGCTCGAGTTTCTTTCATACCCGAGCTCCGATAGGAGAACAACAATACTGCAACCCGCGTACATGCCCACTGAGAAGGCTAAGGCTTACATTATTTATTGACAATATTTATTTAGGGATGCCCAGTTCAGCAAAGCTGGTATAAATGGGGCCCTGGGCTACCTATTAAAACATAGGCACGCAAGGCGTGCAAGAGTTATTTTTTTTGTGAACTATAAGTCTCGGAGATAGGAGC